CTAAGGAAACCAAAATCTCAAAACAAATGATCAAAACAATCATTGACATGAATCCTGTCATTTACTGCAATGAACTATAATAAGTGTGTGAGAATAAAATCTTTTACAATCCTCCAAAACTTTCCTTCATGATTTACTAAATTACTAAAATTCTTTGAAGGGATTGTCTTAAATGTCACCTCCTCCAAGAAGTCTTCTGTGATGTTAGGTGCCCATCCAATGTGCTCCCTTGAAGCCTGTACTTATCCCAATCATAGTAACATATCCCATCCTCAATTATCTTTTAATTAGTTGACCTTCCTCTCTAAACTGTGATATCAAAAACTGCATCTTAAGTCATTCTGAATTCCCAGCCCTAAGCCAAGAACCACAGGCATAACGGATGTTTAATAAATATATGTGAAATGAGGGTCTCCCCGGTGGCGCAGCGGTTGAGCACTGGGTTGCGAAGCTGCCCGCAGCCTCCGCAGCGCCGGTTCAATCCCCGGCAACCGGGTGAGGGTCCCACATGGCGCGCAGACCTCTGCTGCCGCCCGCTGCTCCCCTCAGCAGTGTACTTCGTCCATCTGCCTGTTCTGCTCCCCGCTCTGGCTCTGGTGAATTCTCTCACCCTCCTGCACTTCTGACTGTACCCAGTGCTTGTATAAATAAATAAAATCTTTAAAATAAATAAATATATGTAAAATGAACTTTATATTACATCTTATATCTTCCCACAGTTTTTTTTTTAAGATTTATTTAAAATAAATAAATTCAGAAATCAGAAACCCGATCATTTCCTGAAGCAATCAATCGATTACTTAGGCCATAGTTACGCACCTGCTAGAATCTCTGAGCATGCAACCTTTGTATCTAATGCCACAAAGAGAAATCCATCACCACCAACCTCTCTCATTTCAAGATCTTCTTCCTTTCCTCCTTTCCTGGTCTATTACTTTTCTCTCAACTAATTTTTTTTTTTTTAAACAAACTCTCAACTTCCTATACTAGAAGCATTGCTGAAAAGAATTTGGCAGGTCAATGAAGCTTACTCCTTTAAACATTAAGGTACTTTTAACATTATTTTAACCATTTTGTTTGGGAGTTTGGGAAATATACCATTTGTTCTCTTTACTTCTTAACAGCATGTACACTACAGAACGTGAAGCTTTTTGACCATGCAGGCTCATCAATCTACCATTCTCTCAGGTACATCTGAGAAATAGGACACATGCTTTCGTATATAACACTACCTCGCCCAGACAGCAAACTTGTAGTTTTTGTGTCAGATAAAGCTTTGTTTGTTTGTCTGTCAAATGATGCCTTGTTGAAACATTTCCCTTTGTAGCTCTTAACTGGCTGCGCACTCCACAGCACTACTGTTGATGTCACCCATGATGTGATGGCCAGTGGTGGCCGTCAACACTGCAGCTCTCAGACTGAACGGTACCCAAGATCTCTTGAATGGTGCCAGAAAGTCCTTTAGCTAAAGATCAGTGCTGCATCTGTTGGGCTATGTTGACAATTTCATCAGAAGTGATACTTCCACTGTGCTTAAAGTTTTTACGCTTCTGTCTTGTCTCTTGGTGGTTCCTTGAGGGTTTTGATGATGAGGGCAGAGGCTGACAGGACCACCTCAATCTGGGCCTGTTCTTTTTTAAAAAAAAAAAAAAAAGATTTATTTTTAATTTATACAATAGCTGGGGAACAGGCCAGAGGCGTGGGAGGGTGAGAGGATTCACCAGAGACAGAGTGGGGAGCAGAATAGGCAGACTGACTGAAAGCACTATTGAGGGGAGCAGCAGGCAAGACAGGAGAGGTCTGCCATACCATGTGAGAATCTCCCTGGCCCGCTGGGAATCGAACCCAGCACTGTGGACAGCTTCACAGCGCTGCACTCAACCCACTGCGCCACCGGGGGAAGGCCCTGGGCCTATTCTTAATAGCAGTTTCACTGCCATCCTCAGACCCTTCCTATTACCAGTTGCCTTGGCGATGTCACCAACAACTTTTTTGGAGACATACCAAGGGAGCCAATCTTAGAGGCCAGGGCAAAAGTGGCACCAACTTCCCCACCGGTGTACCTCAGGTACATGACTTTGATATCATTGGGGCTGAATGCTGTGGGAGAACTGTGGGGTCTACAATGGTATAAGGAAAAAAATTTAGTAAAAAAATTTAAATAAAAGAAAATGAAAAAATTAAAAATGGGACAGAAAACAGCAAAATGCTGACTTTTGCAAGTTAGAGATCACCATTCAGCATAGCAGCTTACACGCCTGTGCCCTACCCTTCCACTTCCAGCCTTTACCTAAGGACATTTACTACCTGCAGCTAAGTGACATGACATAATGGCAAGCTCACCAGATCATTCTCCCTTCTCAGACACCATTAACCACACTGTCTTTCCAGTTTTGTAAAGTGGAACCTTGCTGTCATCAATGGTCTTCTCTCAGTTTTCCTTTTTAAATGAGGCAATTTCAAGATTCTGGTATATGTGATTCATCCTAAGATGAATTTTACCTGTTCCTCTCTCAAGCCTGCTAAAATTATACTGTATGGCTCTTCCAGATTTCTGCTTTCCAAACATCCCTCTTAGGTCCCTCTACCCAAATCCATCCCAGATCATAGTGCCTTACTCTTTCATTGTGGGGTTCTCAACCTCCACTTCTGAACACAGTCATTGGTTAACTCAAAATATTTCTTGCCTTCATGTGAATGCTATATTTTCACCTTTAGTTCTTTTTACAGCACCTCTTACCACCCACCTCCTCCTGTTCAATCTTTACATTAGCACCTTCCAGCTTTATATGTTCCATACAGTTTTGGCAACATAATTAAAGAAACATGTTGAAATTCTCTTTTCTGCCTACTCCAGAGTCCTTCCCCTAATCACACCTTAATATGTTCAAGTACCTCTCAAGGAATTTTCTTTTCAAAATGCCTTGGAAGTGACTTTTCCCATTTAATTTTCTCAACTATTTCCCCTTTAATATGTTTCCCAAAACTCTAGATAAATAACTGCCAAATTTTGTGTTGTGGTTGCTCTTCACATATTCCTCCTTCCTCAAATTGTGATTGTCAACAATAGCAGGAATAAATTCTGCACATTTACACAGCATTGTTGCAACATCCCATTCCCCAAACTGCAATCCTTCGGTGTCCTCTCACCAGTCCATTCTTCCACCTCTCCCACAGCTTTCTAGTTTAGCCAGCGTGATCCCTATTTCATGGTAAATAAACTCCCTTCTGCTTTCAACTCATTCAGAAAGCCTTCCCCTTGGAGGGCTGGGCCTCTCTTAAGCACACTGCTGGGCTCCTGGCTCTGCTGTTCTCTGGAAGGAAAGGAGCCATTCCTCCACAGAATGGCTACCTCAGGATCAGGAGCAGGGAAGATTCCTCTTTCCCCTCAGAGCTACAAACAGCCTTAGGTAAAAGCTTCTCCTCCTTCCAGGCCCATGACCTCTGACTAGACTTCCTTCCCCTCGTCCTCCTGTCTTGGCCCCATGGCCAACTCATTTAAAATACTTGGTTCCGCATCCTTGACCTCCTCGTCTCCAATATTCTCTTGCATTTACTTTAGCTGCCCATATTGTGGGCTCCCCCTTGGACCCACTCATCCCCTAGACCTACTACTCCCCTTACAAGTTCCCACCTTCTTGCTTCCTAAGACCCTCACCCCAGTTAGCCAACTCCCTGGGGTCAGAAAGCACCAATCCTTTAATCCTCCCATTTCTCCATTAACTGGTGCATCCTGGCTTCTCCCTGCCAAGCCTGGGTTCTGTGGGTGATCTCTGGAATTGTTCTTTTGCCAGCACTCTAAGCTTCCTGCCAGAAAACTTTGCTGGACTTGCTGATACCAACCTACTATCTGGGCAGCCTCCTATTTCCTCCAAACATCACTCATCCCTCTGCTTATCATGCTCTAGATGCTTGCTTAGGCCTCATGCAACCTCAACTGAGTCTCGTAGGTGCCAGCTCCATTTATTCACTCTTGGCTTGATCTGCCTTATTCCCTTCTAAGCTTCTATCTGAATGAATGAAATGAAAACCTTGCATTTCTCTTATAAATATTAGATAATTTTTTGATATTTATATTATTTTATCCACAAAATAATCTCCTATGGGGTGGAAGCTCAAGAATATCACAGTCAATTTTTTAAAAATGTGGTTCATGGAGATTATGTGGCTTATCAAGCTCTCACAGACTTCAAAAAGTAGAACTGATTAGCCATTGTAATAATCTGAATATATTTTCTTTCATCCCAGCTAAGACATCTATGCTGTGCATAATTATTCAATGTGCTAATTATGGGGATGACATATTAATCATAGAGAAATAAAGGGGTACCACTGTGAAGGCAGGGGTTACCTCAGGATCAGTTTCTACATACAATTGTCTCAGAAGCAAACATTCAGGTTGCAAGTGTTGGCTCGAAGAGAGAAATGAAGTCAATCAAAAGGATGCAGAGAACCATGCCAGTCAGGTTGCTGTGTGGCCTCTGTGCAGGCTCCCACAACTGAAACCCAGCAAATAAAGAGGATCATCACACTGTAAGAGCAACTGAGCCCAGCGATGGTGAATCGGGGTAGAGAAGAAAGAAATTTGGAATTTGCTGTGGAGAACTCCTTTCACACATAATTAGTGCACACTGGAAGACAAGATTGCCATGTAACATACTCACTTCTGTACAAAATTAAAATAGAACAGACTGCTCTCCTCCTCATCCTGTACTATCTGGACATTGACATTATAATAAAGACCATAAATATTACCAGTCACAAATCCCAATGGATATACAAATAACAATAATATTGAACAAAGATTCAAATTTTCAAAAACTTTTTTGAGATGTGTGTAAAAAACCAAAACACTTCCCGCTACAAATCTTTGAGCTTCTTGGATAAAAACTGTTGTATCTACATTTGTACATATCCGTAATAAAATTAATATTGTTACCTGCTCTAGAACTGTTCTCCCCCAACAAAAAATGCAAATACTTTGCAAAATAATCATTTACCTTATAGAAGATCAAAAAAAGATCATCCAGTTTCCCATGCAAATCACCTGGAGTACAAATGAAAAATCATTATTCAGTAGGGAATAAGAGAATGCTAATTTTTATAGAATTTTAAAACAGAAATACTGCCGATCTACATCAAACATTCTCAGAGCATTGGGCTTTTCCCCTATGGTGTATTAATTCAATAACCTGTTTCCACCGTACTCTTCTGCCTTCTTTTTTATAGGGGACAGAATCTGGTATTATAAGTACCTGTTCACTCCTGCCATTAATGCAGTGTTTGGCTTACTCTGTGCCAAGCACTGCACTAAGGGTTTATGTGAATTCGTCAATCCTTACAACCACTTTATGAGGTGGGTATTATTTTCATCAATCTCATTTTACAAATGAGGCTCAGAGTAGCTGAATAACTTACGTAAGGTTACTCAGCTGCTAAATATCAGAGCTGAAATTCAAATCCAACTTTACCGCACTTCAACATTCAACACTTGGCAATTACTTTCTTCTGCCTACACAGTAATCTCTAGGAAAGCAGCAATAGTATCTATCTTAGCATTAAACCCCCAGTGCTTACTAGAATAACTGGTGCATAATGGGAACTCAATAAATACATTTAATAGCTAAATGCATAGTTTTTTAAAGACAGGTGTTAAAGAATTTGCTCCAGCAAATCTGGTAGCATTTGAAAATTTAAGACTATGAGTAGATAGTTGACATTCTTTTGATAAGACAATTGTAGAAAATAAAAATGAAAGCATGACTTTATAAAATTAAGCCAATTGAGGAGAACCAACTGAATGTATAAACTCATTAATTAAAAAATAAAAGTGAATATGTAAATTTCCAAAACTGTATTTAGATAAATCAATCTAGGTAAATACTTGTCCTTCATAGATTCTGACCACAAATTTTTATTCTTTGTATTTAAATTACCAAATAGAATTTAATTTGGGAATATTTTTCCTCAGTTTGTATAAAATCCAACAACCCCAAATAACCAAATATATGGACTAGAAGATTTCAATTGTAATGGAAATAATAAAATTTAAATCCTATTTATAAAATGATAATAATATTAAGAACATATTAATGTTATTGTATACTTAAATCTCATTGCTTTCATATAGTCTCACTACAAATCAAAGGAAATAAAAATGGAAGGACTTTTTACTTATCACTTAAATATATTTTTAAAATTATTTTATTCTCCTAATTTTCCTAGGGTGATTTGTCTTTCAAAGATTTGAGTAAATAAAAGTGTTGCAGCTGGCATGCTGAAAAGTGATTTTGTTTCAACATATTAAGAACTGAGGCTATGAAAATATTTTTAACTTCTAGTTGGACAGCAAAAGAAAAAACTTGATGCATCACAGATATTTCCACTGCAAACAAAAAAATGGAGTACATACTTGGTTATCATTCACAACAAATATAGACAAAAATACCTCCTATATTTCATGCATACTAAGAATTATATGCTTGTAAAAACTGCCTCTGCAGGGCCTCCCTGATGGCGCAAGGGGTTAAAACGCAACCTATGAAGCAATCTGCAGCCACTGCAACACGAGTTCAATCCCCCAGCCAGGGAGCTACCCACATGGCACAGCAGACCTCTCCTGTCTCGCCCACTGCTCCCCTCAGCAGTACATTTCAGTCTATTTGCCTGTTATATTCCCCGCTCTGTCTCTGGTGAATTCTCTCACCCCCCACACCTCTGGCCTGTACCCCAGTTCTTATATGCATTAATAAATAAATCTTTGAAAAAAAAAACTGCCTATGCAAATTAAAATAATGGTAAATTTACATCACAGTTTCTCTCCCTTTCCTAATGTTATCTTTAAGTTCAATAGAGCTGTTTAAAACAGAAAATAATCATTCCTATGCTAAGGGAACCTACCTACTGGACTTGGCTTTTCCTCTACCAAATGTGTAAGATGCGAAAAGTCTGGAAACAAATGCCCAAGAAGTAGGCATCTTTCAGTAAATAGAACTGGCCAATCAATCCATACCCTAGGCTCTGTCTCATGATGGAAAATGAAGCATCAGAGAGGTGCATGATGGGATTTGGGATAGCCGATCTCGGACTGGCTCTAACCTGGGATACCGAGGAGCTGATTTTTAATTCTGATCCTGCCACTAACTAGTTGAGTAAGCTGAAAGGGAAGGAAAGAGTTACTACATGGAAATGTTTGGAAGGCAATATATTTGGCTCTCTGGGCCTCAATTTCATTTGTAAGAGCAAGTAACAGACTTTATGGTCTCTGTAAGAACTTTTCAGTTCTTATACTGTATGAATCTAGGATTTCTAGGCCCTCTAATTAATTCATGTATTTTCCCAATTCCCTTTATCCAAAGATAAGTCTATAATGGCAAATGGAGGTATCCTGGAAACATGGGGAATAGGACCCTTTCTCTGTTTGACCTAGTATACGCAAATCTAGTCCTGGCTACACAGGCTTCATAGGCTGGCACAGGCCCCAAAATTCTTTATCTGTGTCCATGAAAAGTAAGAGTTGGGAATGCCTTGAATAAAAGGCCCCAGATGCTGTCATCCATCATCTGCTAGGCAGAGAAGTGGGGACCTGAGTAGGTTGGAATTGAACCATTAAAGACTCTTCAAAAGCCTGAGTCAGGGCCTATCATGGAGCATGTACTGCTACATCAAGTTCCTATCACCACTATCAGAAACTAGAAATGGAAATGGTTTAATTAAATTGTCAAATCCACTTCAACCTACTAGAATAAAAGAAACACTGGTTAAAAATTGATTTGAAAAACAACAATCACTGGTTTGTAACCTAAGGGCTTAATTAGAAGTTAAGGGAATTGCTGTTCCTTCCACACACTCCATTCTCAGACAGTTGCAAGCATGCTGAGCACCAACTGTGTTGAATTTCGATGTGTACTGTTTCTTGCAGCAATATCCTGCCTGGCTGGCCTATATGATAACAAAATCTCAAATCTTGTTATTTAGAAGAACAAGGAACAGATTTCTGGGACAATCCCACTCTTCTAAAAGCTGCAGAGACTAGTTGGAAAAATCTAAAACAGTAGCCAAGGGCAGAGGAGAGTTTAATCTCCACCCTGGGCTTTTCTCTTCCCAGCACAAATGGCATGCAGAGGCCCACCTAGAAAAAGCAACATGGAACAAGGATAATGAAAGCTCCACCGAGGGCAAAGAGTGCTTATTCCACCCATGGGTGGTTTTCCATATTAAAATGCTGCCTGCCTTTATAAAAAGCTATGAGTTCTTTAATTTCTCACATAATTAATTCCTGCCAGCTGGTATGCAAACAAAGACAAGATGGGGAACAGTATTATCATGATAGATAACTCTATATTAACACTTTTCCCTTAACACAGTCCAATTTACACAGCTTTCAAGTCAGGCAAATGATGTAGAACCAAGAGGCTCCTAAATATTAATTTGGCAACTCTGCTCTGAAACTTACCACAGATTGTTATCTCTTTGGAGGCAGAAGTTTTTGTATGAGTGAAATTCGGCATTTGCTTCAGGGCTTTCCTGGCTTCAAACAGCACCTCTAAGACATAATAAGCATGAAGTATCTATGAGAGATAAACAGAAGAAACAGAAACAACGAATTTGTAAGAAAGGTATAACTGCATAAAAAGCTATAAAGAAGAGCATATGAGCACATTTCAGGTAGCTGTATTTCAGGATGATCTCTAAATTCCTCTCAAATAGATCACTCAGTGTAGTATCTGACATGCAGTAAGCCCTCACTAGAGACTGATTTATTGAAAAAATAAATAAATGGCTCCTAGGACATCTATACGCTCATATTCTTAATTGACATCACCCATACGCTCATTTTGATCCTTAGAGTCCAAGAGAAGTAACAGGACAAAAGAAGATTTCCTCGCCCTAAGGGCCCTAAGGAAATGTGCAGACAGAACAATAAACATAAGAGAAGGGGGGAGAGAAAGACTGCTGTGGAGAGGCTGTTTGCATTTCTTTGGGGTGGTCACACAACTGGGATGGAAACTAGGTTGTGAGATCCGCCTAAGGCAGCCTGAGGAGCCCTAAGGAACTCCTGAGCGAGGTGTCCCAAGTGTGACTCAATATTCCATGCACAGGCATGAAACACACCAGTCAGATCTGCACCTGCTCTGACTATTCATCCCATCGTCTCCTGCAGCTACAGTGTCAATGACATCATTTTGGACAGATTTACTCTTTTTTCTCACTTGGCCTTTTTCTAATATTTTGTTTTATTGTTTAAATCTGGTGTGTGTTCTCCCTTTTTAAATTATAAAGTATCACAAGTATATAAGCCAAAAAGTGATACAGCAGACAAACATTTAACAGATGCCAACACTACTTTATGGGTCAGGACTATTTGTATCCATTGTCCAGTAATGGCAGCCAGTAGCCACATGGAGCTATTGACCACTTGAAATGGGACTAGTCAAAACTGAGATGTGTTGTAAGTGTAAAATACACACTAGATTTCAAAGACTCAATATTAAAAAAAGTAAAATGTCTCATTTATAACTTTTAATGTTTGCATATTAAAATGGTAATAATTCTATGTTGAATATGAAAAATATATTATCAAATCCACTTCACCTATTTTTTTTTAAAGATTTATTTATTTATTTATTTATTTATACAAGCACTGGATACAGTCAGAAGTGCGGGAGGGTAAGAGCCAGAGAGGGGAACAGAACAGGCAGACTGACAAAATACACAACTGAGGGGAGCAGCGGGCGCCGCAGAAGAGGTCAGCATGCCATGTGGGACCCTCGCCTGTGGCCGGGGATCAAACCGGGGCTGCAGAGGCTGAGGGCAGCTTCGCAGCCCAGCGCTCAACTGCTGCGCCACCAGGGGAGGCCCCACTTCACCTATTTCTTTTTTACTTTTTTAATGTAACTACTAGAAAATTTTACATCATGTAGGTGGCTCACATATTCTACTAGAAAATTTTACAACATGTAAGTGGCTCACATATTTCTATTGAACAGCACTGGTTTAGATTATTGAAGGCTGAGAATGGGATCATATCTAATTTAATACTGTTCAGATATTGTTTTGGGTATGGGATTATGGACAGATGAATCCCTTTGGGCCACTCCTGCCTTGAGGTATCCTGAAATTTCCATTTTCATAGCTATTAAAATAATAAAATTATTTTCTAAACCAGACCCCCCCAAAAAACATGATTTAACTTTCAAGAACATTCATGATTAAATATTTTTTTAAAAGACAAGAAACAATATTTGAAGCAATGTGAGAACTAAGAGGAAAGGGAAGGGCCCCTAGATGTTCATTCGTAGAGAGAGGTCCATATTTCCTGTTTATCCACAACCTTACTGACTGCTAAGTATTTTTGCCACAAAAGCATTCTAAATCCAATAAACCCACAGCTCAAATCCACAAGTGGAATCTTGAGTATGAATTTTCCTTTAGCTGCATTTTAAAGGAACAGGAAAAACAATTATATAATGACTTCTTTTTAACTTGTACATTTAATCTTTTTGCCACTGTAGCTTTTCTGGTCCATTTTTTGTACTAATTAGAGTAATTGCTAACTAAAAAGGCAGTTTTTCTTTTAAAGTAAAATTAACAAATGTTCACTGAGAATATATAATACCAACAGCAAATTCCTATTATTAAAATAGTTTTTCCGTAAATAGTTTTTCTGAAGAGGTATGTATGATCCTACACCTCTGAATCATATATAGCATTATAAGCCAATGTTACACCGGTTAAAAAAATAGTCCTACAAAAAAAGAACATGGAAAGTTTCTGATAAAATAATAAAACAGTATTTCTGGATCCTTTTTCAATTGACTGAAATCACTTCAGTAATATTACTACTTGTTTATAATTCTTTCAATAGCATTATATATGTTTACAATTGTAGTATAAAATATTCGAGTTAATTCAGATACTGGTTTCTCTGTTTACAAATATATCCAGACTAAATGGCATTGTGGGAGGAAAACACTAGTTTAAAGGATATTTCTTTCTCAAACAGTAACTAGTTTTTTGTTTGTTTGTTTAAGATGTTTATTTATTTATTTATACAAGCATTGGGTACAGTCAGAAGCGTGGGAAGGTGAGAGAATTCAGCAGAGCCAGAGCTGGGAGCAGAACAGGCAGACTGACGAAGTACACTGCTGAGGGGAGTAGCGGGCGCGGCAGGAGAGGTCTGCGTGCCATGTGGGACCCTTGCCGATGGCTGGGGAATGAACTGGCGCTGCAGAGGCTGCAGGCAGCTTTGCAGCCGAGCACTCAACCGCTGCGTCACTGGGGAGGCCCACAGTAACTACTTTTTAAATAGAAAAATAATTTATTGTATAGTTCAAATAAAAATTTAAATAATAACAAGGGGATACACCAATGAAAAGTAATTTTTGTTCTTGTGCAGATCAGTCTCCCAACACCTATTCCCAGAAACAGTCACTGTTAAGAGTGCCTTGAGTGGCTTTCAAGGAAATATTCGATGCATTTATAAACATATACAAATATAACCACATATGAATATGCAAGCACATGTATAAATATATAATCCATTAAATAATTTTAATATTCAAAATATACATAAATTTTCATTTTTCATAACAAATGGGAATACATACTACAGTATATTGGATCTTTTCTTTTTCCCTTAACAACACAATTTTTTCATTTTTATAAAGTCAAAATTCTCAGTGTTTTCTATTAAAGCTCCTTGGATTTATGTGTATCTTTTATTTCCTTGAACATATCAAATTTACTTATTTTCAACCCTGAGTCTGATAATGCCATTATTTAAATACCCTATAGGTGTGTTTCCATTTTTTGTTGTTTGCCTCAGTTTTCCTTTGATGAGTTTTATACCTTGTGTAACTGGTAAATAACTGTAAGAAGTTCTGGATATTGTACACAGAAACTTGGAGAAATCATGTGAGACACATTTTCTTTCAGAGAGGATTTTAAAAAAATTTTTTTTGGCAGTTGGCTAAGAACACTAACTAGGGTGATCTCAATTTAATTTCAGAGAATAAATAATTCAACCCCACAGAGTCAAGCTACCTCTAGTGGACTCTTACCCCTAGGCTATGCCCTTAGGGTCCTGTCTTGAGAATAAAGGTTTTGGAGTAGTGTCAGAGAAAACAGTGGAGTAGGTATCTCTAAGGTCCCATCACTTCACAGAAATATTAAAAAGTCAAGCAAAAAACAACAACAACTCACATCAACTTTGTCAGAACTCTGGCAAATAGTCAAAGTTTAAAACAAGCAAACACTAAATCAAGAAAAAGGCAACTAAAATAGCTCAGTGCAGGCAGGAAGTTAAGGCTAAGACAGATTTTTTAAACAGTTTGGCTGAGCAGTAAAGGAGTGCACCAATATACACCCAATCTGCAAAGACTGGGTTTTTCTTTTCTTTCTTTCTCTCTTTTTTATAGTTCCTGGTGTTCAAGAAAATCTCTGTCAAAAGAGTAGGTGAATACACACTAAAGGAACAGACACCTCAGAAACCTTATACACAACTAGATTTAACAGACACCTGTAGAACACACCAGCCAATAATAGCAGACTTACATTTTTGAAGTGCACATAGGATATCTTCTAGGATAGACCATATGTGAGGTCACAAAACAAGCCTAATAAATTTTTTTTTTTTTTTTTTTTTTTTTTTTTTTTTAGAGGCATGTTTTTCTTTATTTGTTTGCTTGTTTGTTTTGTTTATACATGCACTGGGTACAGTCAGAAGCGCGGGAGGGTGAGAGAATTCACCAGAGCCAGAGCGAGGGGCAGAGCAGGCAGAAGGACCGAAGTACCCTGCTGAGGGGAGCAGCGGGCGGCAGGAGAGGTCTGCGCGCCATGTGGGACCCTCCTCCGGTGGCCGGGGAGCAGCCGGGGATTGAACCGGCACCGCAGAGGCCGCGGGCAGCTTCGCAACCCAGCGCTCTACCGCTGCGCCACCGGGGAGGCCCCCAAGCCTAATAAATTTTTAAATATTAGAATCGAGCGGCTCTCCTGCCCATCTGTGTCTATGCAGTTGTCTCTTTCTTAAACCTACCACTTCCAAACACAGCCTCCCTGCCCACTTGTGACTATGCAGGTGCCTCATTCTCCTTTTCTTAACAAACCTATTCCTTTTGGGGGCAACTCTTTCCATGCCCCGTTATGAATATGCAAGCATCCTTTTCTTCCCTTTCCCTTTTTATATAATAAACCTGCCCCTTTTGATATCATAAAAATTGGAATAATACAAATTATTTTCCACAATGGAATGAGACTAGAAAAAAATAACAGAAGGGAGATATGAAAATTTACAAATATATTAAAACAACATAGTCTTTTTTAAAATTTTTTTATTTTAACATTTATCTTTTTTTATATTTTTTAGACCATATTTGCTTCCTCCCACCCCCTCAGATTGAGTCCCCATAGAGTTTCCTTCCCCAAGGCACCCCATGCACCATCACCACAGTCCCCTGTGCTCCTCCCTCCTCCTCTCACCCTTCTCCCTCCTCCCCCTGCAGGATGTCTCTGGTTTATAATTGTTTTTGTTGTTTTGTGTTTTGTACTGTTATTATTTTTTTACACTGAT